CATTATTGAGCTTCTGGCAGACCATCCTTTCGTCTTGGTCTCAACATAGAAGTGGTCATGTTTTGCAAGATTCCTTGAGTTGACTGATGGCGTTGTCATGATTATCTGTCCAACTCCACTTAATGCCTTTGGTTAATAGGTCAAACAGTGGGCGTGTGATTTTGGAATAACCTGGGATAAACCTGGGATAGAAATTGGCAAAGCCTAGGAATTGTTGTAGTGCTTTAATGCTGTCAATCTTTGGCCAGTTGAGTACTGCTGAAACCTTGTCTTCTGCCATGCCAATTTGTCCTGGACAAAGCATAAACCCTAGAAATTCTACTTCTTGTTGTCTTTACTGACACACCAAAGAAGCACTTCTTAGGTTTGAGGAATAGATCTGATTCTTTTAGGCGTTGTAGAACCAGTTGGGTGTGTTGCCAATGTTCCATATGATCGGTGAAATAGATAAGGATTTCATCAATGTAGATTACTACCCATCCTTCCAGTAATAGATCTGCAAAGATGCCATCTATCATAGCCTGGAATGTCGCCGGGGAATTTGTTATTCCAAAGAACATGACTGTTGGTTCAAATAATCCTTGTGGAGTGATGAATGCTCCCTTCCATTTGTCGCCTTCCTTGATGCATACATTATTGTATCCTGCACGTAAATCAAGCTTGGTGAACATAGTCGGTTTGGCAGAGGCAACACGGTCCAATAGATCTTCTACTCGTGGGATAGGGTAGGCATTCTTGATAGTGGCATCATTGAGTTTCCTGTAATCTTGGCATGGTCATGGATCTCCAGATTTCTTATTGACGAAGAAGAAAGGAGATGCCATCGGAGATTTTAATGGACGGATGTAGCCTTTCTGCAAGTTCTCTTTGATGAAGGTGTCTAACTCTTTGAGCTTTGCCGGTAACAGTGGGTAGACCTTTCCTCATTGAGGTTTAAAGTTTGCCTCCAAATTGATTGCATGATCCCAGGGTTTTTGTTCTGGTAACCATTCTGCTGTGCTTTTGTTGAATACAGAGAGGAAAGTGTTCAGGTATGCTGGAATGTTGTTAGCGAGAGTCTTGATTGCTCGTAGTAGTTGATCCCAACAAAAGCACATTTTCCCAGTGACCCAATTGATTACAGGGTTGAAACATTTGAACCAAGAGAGACCTAGGATGATTGGATTCCTGTCAAGTACTGTGGCATAGGCTTCTATCTTCATTGGCTGTCCGGATAAGGATATAGTGAAGAAGACCTTATGTTTGATAGATACAGCTTTATTGGGTGATCCATTGACATTGAATACTGGTCTGGGTGTGATACTCTGGTGCTGGAGGTTGTGATCTCCAGCAAACTAGATGTCAATGTAATTCTCCATTGCTCCTGTGTCGATCAATGCCTCAGTAGTGACAGTTTTAGCATAGGTTTTTAATATGCAGGGCAAATAAATAGATTTATGAGCTAATCTTGCCTGGTATAAATAATCCTTAGCACCATTACCTTGATTCGACATCACGGCGATTGAAGACTTTAAAAATCCTTCTCAGAGGATATAGCCTGAATGTATTCTTTGGCTATCCCTTTCTCATTGGAGGAATCCTTGGTTTCATCCTTCTCCTGAGTGGATGTGTCACGGGACTTGATTGCCCTGATGCAGTTATTTGGGCATTGACAACTCTGGTGTCCAGGTTTGTAACATCTGAAACATAACTTCTTGTCCATGTGCTCCTTGTGATCTTTGTCTGACAGACGTCTGATACATTGATCATTAGATGATACCTCCTTTGATGATCCATCCCTGGTTTTGACTGCCCTATTGCAACGTACAAATTTGTTGCAACCAAAAGAGCAATTGGCAGATGGCATGAATAAGGGTTTATCACCAAAGATGTCGATTATAGATTGACAGATGGATTGGATGCTTTTAAGGTATCCTACTGCAGTGACTGGTAGTGGTGGTTGGGTGGCAATCTTGATCAGGAGAGCAGGAGGAATGAGAGGTTGGAGTTCTCGAATTTGACCTAATTCATTTAATCTGCTAGCCTGTAGGAGAGGTCAAAGAGTTGTGACAAATCGAAGACTGTTTCCTCCGCACTTTGCCCAGGTGCATTCACTGATCTCATTCAATGCCGCCTGAGTGTTGCCCTCTACTCCAAAGGTCTGGATGAAGGACTTCCTGAAGTTAGCTCAGCTAGGTAATCCTTTGAGTAGCGCATCTTTGGAGTCAGAGATGGGTTCTTGTGCATCATGGATGATTGTGTGAATGAAGAATTGAGTGGGTCCTTTGATATATGAAAGGGCGCATTGAACCCTTTCTTTGTAGGTCTGGATCTTTTTGGAATTCCCCTCGAAGTATAGGTATAATTCGTCTAAGAATTCCTTGCTCTTTCCCTTGTCTCCTTCGAATTGATTGGGTTTGTTTACTGCCCTGCTGTTGTTGTCAGACATGTCTTCTTCATCTTCCTGATCACTAGGTTCTTGTCACAGTTTTTTGAATGATATTCCAAAACAAGCGCACACCTATCTTATCTTATCAGATAGCGATTAGATATAGATTAGATATGCATCAGAGTATCTACAGAATAGTAGGGAACCAGCTAGAAGGTTCCAGGACACAGTTGTCAATCAGGTGACAGCTCACTAAGCAGTTCTACTCAATGTCGCTTAGTGGTCAAGACCCACATATCACGTGATATTTTAGTCAAACTCTGGCTCAGGGATTCATCATCCACACCAGTTAGTAAGATGGTCAGCAGGTGCTAGTAGATAGCCAATAGGGTAGTGAGCACAAGTACCAAGGGGTCTTGTCTTACAGTATCAGGGGGGCTTACCCAGCATGTATATAAGCTAGTAGGTCTGTGCCGGTTAGGGCTAGACTAGTTATAGTCACTCACCTGCTTTCACTCAGAAAACATCCTCTACAGTAAACCGCCCTCAAACCCTTTACTCAGCACTATCAGATAGTGAGTATAGTTTGGGTTAGGGTTAGGTTTCAGGGTTCTGGCTGGAGTCACTGTGGGTCATTGCGTGACAGTTCTGGTTCTTCATCTTTTGGATTGTTTGGGTGCCTGTCAGTGGGTTCTTCTTCTGGATTGGGATCGACTGGAGACTTGGGTAGTTCCAGTTGAGTTTCTGTTAGAACAGGAACTGGGCATCGTTCCTCTACTGGTCCTGGTGAGTCGAAGATTCCTGAGAGGAAGCTGGGTGTGACTATGGGACTGGTGTTTGTAGATTTGCTTGGCAAGGGTTTGGTGTGTAACTGGAGTGGCGATGTACAAGGTGTAGGAGCTACTACACTTCTACTGGATGATGCTCCAGTAGGAGTGAGGTATGATGGTGTAGGAGAAGACTTCTCTACTAGTGGGGGAACTACTGAATGACAATTGTCTTTGCTTCCAATAGGTGCTAAGATTGGTGTAGCCTTTGGGATAGTCTTATCTCTGCTCCTATTTGGACAAAGTGCACTTGCACATTACTGGTAGATGGACCTGTTAAACCACTGGTCAGTTCTTTTGTTCTTGTTGTAGGTGTGGATCCTATTGAAGCAAAGGAGATTCCTTGACTGGGACCTGGTTACTGTTAATTGTCCTACTGCTGTAGAAGCCACTGTGGCTTGCTGCGACTAGGAACTAGTGATCCTAGGAGAGTTTTGTCCTAATATTAAGGGACCTAATGACTGGGGATCAGGAGTTCAACTGAAAAACTGGGACTGACACTATTGTACGTCAGGCTGATGTGCTTGTTAGTTGAGTGCTTCACTTTCTATGCTCTTTGTTATTTAAATATCTT